AAAGGGTACGACCGCATAAAAGAAAAAATTAAAAGCGTTCGCCAAGATTATAGAGCGGCGGTGAACAAAGGCACACGCAGTGGTAGCGGAAAAATTGTCCAGGACAATTACGATTTATTGACAGACATTTGGGGTGGATCTCCGGCAACAACTTCCTTGCCTTTCGGGGTCGATGGTATGATGAATGAGAATGACGAAAACGAAATTGATGTGGTGAACGTTGGAGAAAACTTTGACGACTCAGGACTGGCCATTGAAGAACGACTGAATGAAGGTACTGAATGAATGTTTAATACAGCTCTTTTACGTTTAGCTCTACAATGAGTTTCATTATTTCAATCTGACGTTTTGACCAAGTATTTCAAAAGCTGAACGCTCAAAATTTTATTTATTATCCACCCACTTTCTTTACAGTGCTCATCCTCTGCCCTAAACAGGAACTAGGTCCTTGTATAGTTTGAAATAAGGAATTTTAATTTTTAAACTGATATGGCTTCATTAATGATATTAATTAATATCTTATTTGTTAAGAAAATGAAATAAATGCTTTGGAGAGGCCAGACACTGCCAAATCAGTGGTAAATATTTGCAAAATCCCAAAACTTGTGGATAATAAGAGAAAGCACATGGAAAAAGGGTTATCACAAGCTCAAAGAGACCATCTTCTCCTGAAGCAAGGGAAAGATGATGCAGCAATGAAGCAGCAGATGGTCGATGCATTTGATCGTTCTAATCAAACCCTTGAAAACTCAATAACAAGGATGACAAATTGCCTGTCCTCTCTTGGTGAAGGGATAGCATCGGGGATGCAGATGCTTGCGATGGCATTGGCTGGGCCGCAACAACACGTCCGTGCGCCATACCCTCCTCACCCATATCAACCCAATTTTAATGGCATGCCTACAATCCCTATTTATCATAACCACTATCAGCCAAGACAGCCACAACCCTACCCACACCCAGGAAATGAATCTCCAAGAAATGCTTATCAGTTTCTTGGAGATGAAGAAGAGAATGATCTTCATTCTCTATGAATTTAAACTTTTAGGGTAATTTGGGGATTATTGGGATCATTTGTAGAACTATTAGATACTTTTATTTATTTGAACTGAAACAGTTTTGTTGAATAATGAAAGATAGAAGGGGATGCACACTTGTTTTGTTCGAATGCACACTATTAGTGGAGACACTGGTCACAGAGCATTTGTGCAATAATAATATATACTATAATGAGGACAGATTTTAATAATTTTGAAATGAACCAATACTAGCCGACAATTTCAAAAAATACAAAACAAAACATAATCCGAAGATTAACATCTTGAAACCCAAAATATAGGAATGTTCAACACTCGAAAGTTAAAACAAGTCAGGAATGAGTTCGTGATTTTTCGACTTTATCACAAAATCATCATCAGACTAACTGATAATCTGATGATGATTTTGTAATAAAATCAAAATATCACGAACTCATTCTTATCTTGTTTTAACCTATATTTTGGGTTTCAATTTAAGATGTTAATCTTCGGATTATGTTTTGTTTTGAGCTCCATGAACCAATAGTTTCTTTCCAAAAGATTATAATGTGTCCTAATTTCACTATTATGAACTGTAACAAACCAATCACAGTTTCATAGTTTTAGTTAGTATACAAAATGTACAAGATGAGCTTTGCACAAGGTGAAGTCATCAAATTTAAATTTATTATATAATATTTGAGTGTGTTGATGTAAAAGTTTTGTGACATAAAAGTTCTTATATATTTTTGCATTGTGCATTTTACCTAGTTGGTGCATTTTACCTGTGCATTTTTACATGTGCGTGTCAAACACTGAACAGTTCCCCACTAGTTCTCTCCAACCTCATCTTGAACTTTTACCAGAATATGACACATTTGTCACTGTTGCAGTAATAACAATAATGCAATATGGTGCCTCTTTCTGAACTTTCAATTTATATAAATCACACATTATTTCTTGCATGGTTTTTCCTTTCAAAATAAATATACTTAATAAGGAAATTTAAGAAATACCGGTTTCAGGGAAACTAATGGGGAATGTGTTCTCGGTACATCCTTGTTATGATATTTCTAACCTGTGCTCCCTCAGCAGTGTTACATGAATATAGACAATCTGCAACTGTATTTGGCTGTGTCACCATATCGTGTGCAATCTGCTGCTCAACTTCATCATCAACATTAACCCCCTGAATCTCACAAAAGTTATGAAGTACAAAACAGGCATAGACTATCTCCGGAATAAATGTCAATTGCATGTTAATTCTTTTGTTTAATATTTGCCATCGGGCTTTTAAACGTCCAAAAGCACATTCTACTGGATTTCGTGCACTTCGAAGCATATTGTTAAATATGACCTCCTCGTTCGATTGTGGACTGGGGTACTCCTTCATGCAGAATGGTAGTAAAGGGTACGCTGGGTCACCTAGAAGTATGGGAGGGATCTTGTCATAACCAATAAAAATTTCTTGGTAAACCATTGGCAGTCTCTGTTCTCTAAGGAGGGTAGTTATTTTTGAGTTTGCAAATACACGCCCATCATGGACGCTGCCTGGCCAGCGAGCATCGACATTGAGGAATAAGCCTCTCCAGTTGCATACAGCTTGTACATTTAATGTGTATTTCATTTTGTAGCTGAAATAGTCGTGAGGATTTTCTGAGGGCTGTGTAATGGGGATATGTGTACCATCCACACAACCAAACGCTTGTGGAAATCCATATTTATTTTCCATTTGCTTAATTTCTTGCCTCATTTCTTGTTCGGATGAAGGGAGTTTAATATATATAGCTCCCAAATGTTTAGTTAATACCCGGCAAACCTTCCGTACAACAACAGAAACAGTACAAATGGCAACACCAAATGCATTTGCAGTCATGGAGAGAGATCCTTGATCCTTTAAAAAGTACAATGTCATTGCCAGTTGTTTCTCCACAGTTATAACATCGTCTCGAGGTCCTCCTACACCTGGCGCCAAGTAAGGTCGCAATTCGTCCGCTAATTTCATAAAAACCTGCTTCTCCATTCTTAGATTTTTCTTCCACTCGGACATAGGCAAGATTTCGTTAAAGAGGTTTAGCCACCACTGCTCAGTTCTACCAGGAATACGCCAAAATCTTCGACGACGTCTAACAATTCGTCTTCGTACATGTCTCAGAGAATATAAAGCAGTATTTCGCTCATTTACTGCTTGAACTGCTAGTTGCTGCTGCAGTCTTCTCTGGTATAATAACACAGAAAGTAACAGACCACAACATTGAAATATAGTAAGCAAATGAGCAAGAGATAGCATGATACAACTTGCCACCAAAACTTTGTGTTTCGGCGCCATTTTTCGAAAATAGACGGCTTAGCGACCACGCATAAGTAGGGTGACCCTACCGGGCAACATAGCCCTAGCAGTAGGGTCACCCTACCTCATGTAAACGCTCGCTTTTTTCTGACCCGCTTGCTAGGGTAACCCTCCTGATAGGGTCACCCTACCTCCATGTAAACAGGCCCTAAAATTTATACTCGTAATCTCGTATGGATATCTCGCCAAATTCAAAGGTTAGAACGTTCTGTATTATACCAAAATATCATGAACGGCATAAGCCCTGGAAGTATTTCGAAATTATAGGGGCACTGGCAAAAAAAAAAGGCACTTTGGTAATAAAAATTTATATATACGAAAATACATGTGTTTTTTAGCTACAAAAACTGAATCTTAACAATAAAATCGAATGCATCTCTGGTTGACAAGCATGCAACGAGAACCTCAAATTACCACGAACTACTGAGTTTAATTAACAGCCTGCGAAAAGTTAACAATTTCTCCCATGTATTTTCTTCTTAGATTTATTTAATGTTTGGATAAATGCATGAACTTGAAATCCAATGCGCCGAGGTAGATTTTCACAACAAATAATGTCAATAGCACCTTCAATGCAATGTCCAGGTGAAAGTTGTTTAACTTTTCTGTTTACGACTTGAGCTGTTTTCATATGCTTACCTAGTCTTAATTAATGATAGTTTGGTAGTAGTTTTACGTCTGTTTTTATACCCCTCTATTAACTAATTCATTCATTTAAAGATTTAGAGACTAGTGTGATGATTGCGATGAGCGAGTTAGACCAGTGCGGTGATTGCGATGAGTGCGGTGAATGCGATGAGTGTAGCGAGTTAGACCAGTGCGGTGATTGCGATGAGTGCGGTGAATGCGATGAGTGCGGTGAATGCGATGGGTGTAGTGAGTTAGACCAGTGCGATATTATACGGGGTGCTTTTAACATAATTTCCATATTCTTTCCATGTATATAATCTCACGATTGCTTAATAAATCTGGTAGGCCTATGTGGCTGTGCTTTTTGCCTCTGGTCTGCAATGACAATGACATGCTTTTAAAAAGGTTTATTTATAAAAAGGTTACTGCACTTTGTGAGTTCTTATATATTATCATATAGTGTTGATTTATTAGTAATAAATCTGTGTATATAACATAGGTATATAAATTAATATAACGCAGCAAATGCGCGCCAAGCAGTATAAACGCGGCTGAAATACGATATTAAAATCTTGAATGTGCCGTATGATTTAATTATGTTTTAGGATTTAAAGCCTTTAAAAATGCTTTTTCATTTGTATTTGTACTTGTACTGCATCACAATGCAGTGCGTAAATGAACAGATTCCACATGTGGGGTTGTCTTGTATATATTAGTGCCTTCTTTGATAAACATTATTAAAGTGCTACTGTGACCAAATTTTCATTTCTGTTTTTTTTCCATGATTGTGAAGAATGTGTATAAAGAAGCTGTCACGCAAAATTTTAGCGTCATATCTTATATTTTGCCTGAGTTATACGACGATCAAATTTGAATTCTGGCAGCCGCCATTAAATTCCGCCATACTGGAAAGTTCAAGTGTTCGGGAGTCTTTGACGTCATAGTCTCAACACATGCTGGGCGTGCAACATAAAAATATATACGCGACTATAGTAAAACTCGATCATGCCTTCATCGCGTTGTGTTGTACAAGATTGCAGCAATACTTCTGACAAAAACGCGGGTAGATCATTGCATAAGAGCCCAAATGACGAATCTTTGAGAAGAATATCGGTTAGATTTGTGCAAACTAAGCACGCCAATTTTTATCCAAGCTCGGGGGAAATTCGATTCATGATTTGTTTGGAACATTTTTCAACGGATTGTTTTGAGCGTTTATTTCATTTGGATGGTTTGCAAAGACGACTCAAACCACATTCTGTGCTTACTATTTGCAGGAAAGCTCCTGCGCAACTAACAACAAGAGACAGGAGTAAGGTTTAGTCAGATATGAATATATTTTAGCTACATACATGTTTACATAATCTGATAAGTCCATAAAGTAAAAAGCAAATTCCGAAAATACAGGACATCTTGAGAATTCAATATATAATTCAAAACAAGACGCAGTTTGAGACTGTATATTTTCGACTTTATTTCAAAGTCATCTTCAGACAGAATGAAATGCAATACTTTACAACACATATATATACAACGCAGAGAGAGAGAGAGAGCATCTGTCATGTGGGCGGAAAGAAGGATTATCCAAGGGAAGCGAAACATGATAGAGAAAATAGTAATAACTGAAAATGGATTCTTTCGCTATATTTACAACAATGTTTAATATATTAAAAGGAATAAGATAGAAAGGGAGACCTGACAAGTAGATCAAGATTAAGTTAAAGTGTTATATGAACAGTTGTAGTTCTTTACTAGCTTTAAGTCCAGTGTTAAGAAAAGGTTTGTCATGTTTGATAAGCAGTGCTTCAAGAAAAGCAAGGATGTTGTAGTTGTTAGATTTTGTAATGTGAAGTATTCTGTAGCTGTTGAAAACAAGGTTTTTAATAGGAGAAGAGTTGTCAGAAGGCAAAGGAAGATCGTTGAGTAGCAGGGCCGCCGAGAGGTTGGCGGGGGCACGCGGGGCAATTTTTTTTTAGTGGCCTCTATCTAAAACATTTTTCCTGAAAAATATTCCCCCCCCCGTCGCCAAAAAAATTTCGGTCAGTGTAACATTTTAGGGGCACCTCG